TGGACAAATGACACTAGGAATTTTTATAGTGGTTCACTCTATAAAACGAGAGCTACATCCACTGTGACTTTGTATTTATGTTTAGAAGGTAATAATTTACAGTCATTGCTATTCTTCAATCTCTTTTTCTTTTTAATTTCTCAACCCCTGCCTCACTGGGGGTCTTCCTCCTTTTATACTGGGCTTCCTTCGCTCAGGGGGTTTCCTTCCTAGGTGGGAGCACTCAAGAGCCCTTTCTCGGTAGGCCCAGACGTAGCCCACTAATAAGCACTGTTCACTCAACCAATTAGTCTCCTATTATGGCTCTGTGCTTCTCCGTAATACTTTTCTGTCCCCTATGTGGGGCGGTTTGAGAGCTTGTAATTAATGACTGCAGACGTTTTCCACTTAAGCACGCAACCCGTCACGTCTTCTAAAGAACGTTCCCCTCGTCGTCAGCGCGGCTTGGCCCAATCGCCCACTTTGGATCCTTTCTGCGGCCGAGGGATCTTCGTGCCTACGGCGCGATGTCGACGCCATAAGGGATCGTCGTCCTAATTTGGGCTTCGCGCTGTCCAGGGGATAGGAGAGGTCCGTAGACATCGAGGGTTTTCTGCTTGGTGGGGAGTGGTCAGGACCACGTGTCGCATTATCGTCCGTCCACGTGTCCGTCACATTTTCTCACACGACAGAACCCACTCTTTTCTTCTCATATTCTAACATTCACCAAGAAACAGAGAGAAATACAAATTAATTTAATTTGCAAACATTTAAAAAAAAAAAACCTAAAAAACCCTACTTTCTTTCTTGCAGACTAAAAATGGGGCAGCCCCTAAAATTGGTGAATTCTTCTGAAAGAGTGCAAAAACCTTCAAAATCTTCCAAAATAATTTTTTAGATTTTCTTCATCATTTGGCTGACTTAAATCCCACAAATCACTCAAATTAATTAACTTTCCAAACACCCAGAAAGCAACTATCCACACTGTTCAAAATGCAAGAGAAATCAGAGCAGATTTGCTGGGGAAGGGCATGCTGTCCGGATCGGCATGGCCACCTTCTTCTCCGATGACGCCAACTCTTGTGACGGCCTGAGAAATCAGAGCAGATTTTCTTCAGTTTTTTACCAAACACAAAAAAGTAATAACTTGTTAAAATAGTGCTTTTGACCGGTTGAAAAGCATTACGAAACTGGCCTATATACATACAAGAGGCCTCATGCATAATTGATAAAATTTGGCAAAGATCTACGAATTCAAAACAAGGAACTACATATATATTGGTATGCCAAAAACTAATACAATTTAACAAAATTTTATTAAGATCTCATAGTTTAAATTTGTGTCTTACCCATTTTTTCACCCAACTATTTTTTTTTTTCTTTTCAGAAGACAAACCAAACCCCTAATTTCCATGAATGCTTTTAAAGTGCTACTACATTAAAGACTCGTGCATGCTAATTGTCTATTCAGCATCTTACATTAATTGTTTCATCCTATTTACGAGTGAGCTCCATTTATAGGATTTATGTGAGACTTGCTTATGGGGCATAATTTTTGTGGGATAAATGGGTCCCACCTTTTACGAGATAATAAGATAAAGAACAAATATATAGTCTGTTTATTTCACTAATTTAAATTTTTAATTTGAGTTGAAATGTGATTTTATATGAAAATTTTTTATTGTAATAAAAAAATTAAATGTGACTGTTTTTAAGAGTTTTTTACTATAATAAAATTTAAATTTGAAACTCGAATCGATAAAATAAACGTGTGATCTGACTCTATATACCACTCTATCAAAAATCTTTACTTTCCAAGGTTATAATAATACGTGATATTCATAATACCGTATAAAAAAATATTTCAGCTCTTATTTACACATAACTATTACATCAATAGCAAATTGCGTAGACTGACTATATATCCTTTCGAATCTTAGAATGAATTTCACTAGACATAATTTCGCGAGCATCTATTAGTTATTAATTTATACAACGATGGGTTAAACCGTATTTACATTTAGCAATGATTCATTTAAAAAAAAAGAAAAAGAAAAACGTAATATCTGCATCTCAAAAGTATATTTTAGAAAAAAAAGTTTTTTTAATACATTTACCCTTAAATTGTCGTAGTTTAACAAATTATCTTCTAAATTTTTAATTTTATAACTGTCTTTCAACTTTTAAAGTTATTGTAATACACCTATTTGATGATAATTGTATTAAATTAATGTCATAAAAACACGTTTAACGAGAAATTTTAATATCCTAATTTAAATAAATACAAATATTTTAATTTCTTAATTTTTAATAATTTAAATCTAATAAAAAGTTGAACAAATTTAATAATATTAGGCATATTACAATAATTTTATAAATTTAAGGGTTAATTATTAAAATTAAAAATTTAAAAATAATCCGTTAAATCACGACAAGTTCATAAAATGATTGTGCTAAAAACAATCTGCTTACCAACATTATTATATCGTTGTTATTTTAGTAAAGAAATATTTTCAGTTGATTAAAAAAAAAAAAAGAGGAAGGAAATTTGTTCTTAAAGAAAAGGGACTTAAAAGGGCGTTTATTTAATTTGTTTTATTGAAGGTGATTGGCACGTTTATTAATTCACAATGGATTATAATCAGAAAGGACAAAATATCTTCAAAGGAAAAAGTATATATATATTACAAGAAAGAGAATAAAAAATTTGATTAAAGGGATCTGAGTATTTAATTCCAGTATATATTGACTTGACTTTATTAAAATCAACTGAGAGAATTACTTTGGGATCGAATTAGGACCAGAATCCTAAGTCAAGTAAAAAAGTAAAGTTTGTATATAGTTGTACAGAAATTTGTACAATCCATCACTCACAAGAGCATGGCAGCCCTCGTTACGACACGTGTGCTTTCCAGAATCTTGAGGTAACAAAACCGTGCATCTCCCAGGCATATAGGCTTTATCTCACGGGGGCAATGATTCTGTCACCGTCAAAACAACACACGTGCAACTTCCCACAGCGGAATCCTCGAAACGTACGACTCATTCTAATTGGGCCGTGACCTACCACCATGGGTGACGTTACAAAGTAGTCCCTCTAAAAGCAAATGAGTCTCTTCTCTTGGACCTGCTTGCTAATAAGACGACAAAACCATTTCCCGAAATTCGGAACAGCTTTCATCTACCCATGACAAACATCGTTACATGTCCGCCAATTCCACGCCCACGCGTTTCGCCCCTCACAGTAACGCCGTTTACCCAAGTCTTTTAAAAACTAATAAACAAAAGAAAAATGTTCAAGAATGCTATAAAAGAATAGGAAAAAAAAACCAAAAATAACATTTAAGATGGTAAAAAAATAATATTTATATCTCTCCACTAAAAATTAACATAGTTGTTCAATTAATAAATAAAAAATAAAAGATTATATTGACTCCAATTATTTATAACGATATAAATAGTAGGCTACATTTTCCTAACAAATCATGTATTTTTTTTTTATAAGAAAAACCATTATTTTACTTCTCTCATTCATTTTAAATTGATCATTTAGGCCATTATTATTTTAATAGCACATCTTTCATTTTCTATCATAATATTTTTTTGACATGATATTTTTCGTATTTTACTATAATATATTTCATATTCTACTATAATATTTTTAATGGCATAAAATACGAGACGATGAAAACAAATAGTTATTCTTGTAATTTTCTCTAAACGAAATATGTGCACTATTTAAAAAAAAAAAAACACACACATTGATTTTATCCTTGTCTTGAAAACACTTACAATGGTCTTTTAAAGGGTTAAAAAGAATATTTTGATAAAAAAGAGGAATTAGCGACGTTAATTTATAAACTCTTTATTAGCTAACAGTCTAGTCCCTATTTTATTAACTTGACGAAACAATCTCCAAACTCTTTAAATAGTGGTAACTAAAATATTTCTTGATGGAACGCGCATGTGACCCATCACATGGCCTCTTTTTTTAATAAATTGACTGAAATACCCCGATTGTGAGGCAATGTTTATTGTTTTTTATTTTATTTTTTCTATGGTGGCTAAATATCATTCTTGTTAGATTTTTATGCACATATAAAGTTGATATGTATTAGAAAAAAAAAGAAGAGAAAAAAGAAAAAAAAAAGAGAGAGGAACAAGAACGATCTTAGGGTTTAAACCCTGTCTCTCATGTGTGATCCTTTAGGGTTTCTTTTTGTTTTTTGTGGCGCCGCTTCTTTGTGTCTTTTAGTCAGAGTTCGGTATCGCCCCTGAGTATACTCAAAAGGGTGATAAAAGTTAAATATCGATATTTTTTCTTAATAAAAATAGAGAGTATTGCTTTATTTGACAAGTAGTTAAATATTGAGATTTTTCTTTAAAAAAAAAAATTTGAGAGTATTGCTTTGTTTGACAACTAAAATACATAAAATTTATTCCAATTTACAACTATTACTTGTTTCAATTTAGAAAAAATTTGTGGACAAGAACATCATCTTGTAAGGTAAATCAAATCATATAGGATTTGCAAGAAAAATTAAATATTGTTAAACTATATTTTGAAAAGTAGTAAAAAAAAAAGAAAATAAAAGGTAAGTTATTTTATTAAAGGAAAAAATAAAAGACAAGTCTTTGTCATTAATTAAGCCTACATTGATTGATATTACTCTGATTTTTTTCCCTTAAAAAAGTGGTCGGGTATCATAGGAGTCAACCGAAGGTGGAAACTCTACATTTATAAATATCAAAATTTCACTTAAAAAAAAAAGGGAAAGAAGAAGGGAGGAAAAGGAAAGAAATAAAAGGGAAAGCGTAAAAAGAGGAAGAAGGCTTGTCTGTATATCAGTAGATAGGCGTACGACCACTATGCTGGTGAACAGAAACACACACACACTATTCACAAGAAATGGAAACCCATTATTATTTTTTTTGCTTGAAAGAAACCCATTAATTTAATATTCCCCTTTCTCCTTCATTTCCTATACGACGCACCATATATATAGACACACACACACACACACACACACACACACATACATACATATACGTTTTCTCTCTCTCTCTCTCTCTCTCTCTCTCCAGGGTTATCATCACCATCGTCTCTGTCTTTCAGTACTCTGTGTGTCAGTGAGCCAAGGCCAGGATAGGACGACTTATTATTGGTTCTCCTTCCTTCTCTCTCTAAAGTTGTCTTCTCCAATAATTCACTGTAATTCGCCGAGCAACCGAGGTTTCCATGAAGCGAGGCCAGAATCGGAGTTTCTGAGACAGAAATCAATGGATTCCTCTTACGGTAACACTAACGGCGGAGACGCCGCGTCCAGAGGCTCTACGACTTCTCCAATGGACGGTAATGTTGAATTGTTTTTGCGAAATTGTGTTTCCTCTGAATCTGATTTTTGTTTTGTTTGGTTTGGTTTGTGAAAATGTTTGGAATTGGTGAATCTGATGGTAGATCATGAAAATGCGCTGTACAAGGAGCTCTGGCACGCTTGCGCGGGTCCTCTGGTGACGCTTCCTCGCTCTGGCTCCCTTGTTTACTATTTTCCCCAGGGCCATATCGAGCAGGTTCTTCTTCTCTTTATTTCAATTCTCCCCAAACATATATATTTTTATATGTGCACAAAAATGTATATGTTTTTACATAATCTTATGCGTGTGTATATAAAAACACGTACTTGTTTCAATTTCGCTTTTGTGTCGGTAGATTTTGCATATTTTGTCGCAGCATCAGTACTGTAAATTTTCTGCTTGGAAAAGTAGAACTTTGCTTGAATCTTTCATATGAATGAGGCTCAGAGATTCTAATTTCTGAATTTGAACGGAAACAGGTGGAGGCGTCGATGAATCAAGTAGTTGATCAGCAAATGCCGGCCTATGATCTTCCCCCTAAAATCCTCTGTCGCGTTATGAATGTTGTGTTGAAGGTTTTACCTTAACTCCTGATCAGTGTTCATTCTTCCATCGGAGTTATTGGTGTATAAATTTTCTTTCTTTTTAATGCAGGCTGAACCAGACACGGATGAAGTGTATGCTCAAATGACTTTGCTTCCTGAACTTAAGGTATTTGGATGTTTGTCTTTCTCATATTTGTATATGTGCTTGTGTGTGTTGAGTCATACGAATGTTGTTGTGGTTGTTGTTGATGTGTGGCAGCTAGATGAGAATATGGCGAAGAGGGAGAAAACTCCGCCTTGCCCTCCGCAGCCTCGGGTGTATTCCTTCTGTAAGACTCTTACAGCCTCGGATACAAGCACTCATGGTGGCTTCTCTGTCCTAAAACGGCATGCGGATGAATGCCTTCCCCGACTGGTTTGCCTATCTTCACTCTCTATTCACTTGATTCTGTGTATGCTTTCATATTTCTTAGTTTGAGAGACTGAGCTTTCTGGTCCCTTGGCAGGACATGTCTAAGCAGCCTCCGAATCAGGAATTGGTAGCTAAAGATTTGCATGGCCTTGAGTGGCGTTTTCGCCATATCTTTCGAGGTAATACCTGTTTGTTTATAGTATGTGATAATAATCATTTGGTAACGACATGGAGTGTTTATTCTTTGTGGGGTCTTTTTTCACAGCCTTTTAGTGTGTTCTCCACTTGATTTCGTGCTTTCTTCAAGACCTTGCTTGGGTGTTGATTCTCATGATGTCAAGAAATTACTTACTTCTAAGTACAATTATTTAATAAAACCATGTGTAAGTGGAACCCATTATTGTTCCAGGTCATCCAAAGAGACATCTTCTTCAAAGTGGTTGGAGTCTCTTTGTCAGCTCAAAAAAGCTTGTTGCAGGCGATGCTTTTATTTTCCTCAGGTTAAGGATCGTTTGTTTCTATCAGAGATTGCCATTATGATTACTCTGTTCCTTCTGCGATTTGCATAGCCTTGAGTTTGACTTGCAGGGCTTTGCAGCCGCAGAGAGGGCATTTGTAGGTTAACTTTGTTGATGGAATTGTAAGCCCATGGGTGCCTTACAAGGTTCTTGATTATGATTTCCAGGGGTGACACTGGAGAACTTCGTGTAAGGGTTAGACGGGCTATGAGGCAACCGAGTAATGCTTCATCCTCAGTCATCTCTAGTCATAGTATGCATATTGGTGTACTAGCAACGGCATGGCATGCTGTTTCAACGGGATCAATGTTCATTGTTTATTACAAGCCAAGGTGTGTGGTTCTGCTTGCTACAATTTCTACATAATATTGACTATTCCTTTCCATCTAATTTACAGACTCGATTGATAAGATTTATTATTCTTGCCCTTTAATCTCTAAATTTGTCCTTCTCCTTTTTCTTTCTGTCTCTGCGTTCATTCTATGTAGTTGATCAACTTTACTTATTCCATTGTATTTTTGGATGTGATAATTGTTTAGGACAAGCCCTTCCGAGTTTATTGTTCCCTTTGAAGAGTACAAAGAGTCCGTCAAGAATGAGTATCCTACAGGGATGAGGTTCAAAATGAGGTTTGAAGGTGAAGAAGCTCCTGAGCAAAGGTATTATTCTTGTTATGAACCTTAAGGGAAGAAAAGAAAATAAAGTAGAGAAAGACTCATAAGAAGCGGGAAAGGAGAAAGAGTGAGTTTGGAAATAACTTCCACTTTTCTGTTTCACACCCTTTTTTTTTTTACTGACTAGGTTCTCAGGTACTGTGATTGGGACTGAAGATTTAGATCCTATGAGATGGCCTGGATCCAAATGGAGATGCCTTAAGGTAGTGATAGAAAACTTTATGTCCATATGATTTGTTAGATGCTAAAAAAATATGCTTATGTTTCGTTTCCTTTAGGTTCGCTGGGATGAAACTTCTCACTTTCACCGTCCAGATAGAGTTTCCCCTTGGAAAATAGAACCTGTTTCAATTCATGCCCCAGACCCTCTTCCAGTATGTCCGATGAAAAGGCCTCGCTTGAGCATATCATCGTCTACCTCATCTCTCCATGCAACAACGGAAGGTATAGCTCCTGTTATACATGCCCCATGAGTATTTTTCTCTACATAATGCAAGTCTGGCTTGTAGCTTATGGAGATATTGTGTGACCATCAATTAATCGTGCTTTCGATTTTATCATCAGGCCCGTCTAAAAGCAATGTAGAAGCTCCAACATGGAATGAGTGCTCAAGGGCCTCTCAAGGTCAAGGCTTGACCTTAAGTGGTGGTGTCTTTGCTAGGAATTTTGAATCAAACGTTGAGAATGTCACCACCTACATTCCTTCATCACAAGGCAAGGATCATCAAACAAACTTGCTCTTTGGAAAAAGATGTTTTGCTCCGGAGGATAGAGTTGCTCAAATAAGGCTTGGATCACAATGCACAAAGGAGATCTTAGCCCCCATAGCACGCCAGAAATCGTACATGGCGGGTTGGCCTTTGGTTGATCAAAACTCAACCGACATCAACTGCTTGCTTCCTTTCCGAGATTTTAATGATGGAATGCATGGACTTGAAGTCCAGCAGCAGCTGCCCAGAGATTGGTTGTTGCCTCTGCTGCAGCCAGCACATGCTGAAAACTCTAATCACCAAATGATTCTGAATTTGGACGACCTGCCTTTGCAACAAGATTTGAAAGCCAAGGGGAACGGAGAATGCAAACTCTTTGGTTTCTCCCTCCTTGGTAACCCTGCCATGACAGAGCAAGAAATACCATACTTGAACTCTACAGACAGGCTACGAGGTCATACTGATGTTGAATCATCAGAGCATCACCAAGATATAGGACCGGGACAAGTGTTGAAGGGGTTAAAGATTCCGGAGTTCTCCGATACTGAAACTGTAGGAGATGAACAAGGGCAACACTCTCAAGTTTTAAAGAAGTTTTCTCGAGACAGTCAGGTTAAGCTTCAGGGTTGTTCGACGAGAAGCTGCATTAAGGTGTCTTATCTTATTGTCATTGGGCATGGTCTTTTTTTTTTTCAAAAAAAAAAAAACTGAGAACTCAAATTTGTGATGTTATCTAACTCTTACTGGTTTTATATGAATTCTTGATTCAGGTTCACAAGCAGGGGACTGCTTTGGGAAGGTCCGTTGACCTGAGTAAGTTCAATGGCTATAGCCAACTGATAGCAGAATTGGATCACATTTTCGAATTTAATGGTGAATTAATGGGACCGAAGAAGAAGTGGCTGATTGTTTTTACTGACTACGAGGGTGATATGATGCTTGTTGGAGATGATCCCTGGGAGTAAGCAAATTCGTCTCTTTTTTCCACTTATTTGCATACATATAATTGCGTCCTACATCATTAGCATAATTTGGAGTCATTATTGGTAACTTTGAGATCGGCTTGTTCTAACCAATGTTTGTGTCTGAACAACATAGGGAATTCTGTCACCTTGTCCGGAAGATTTCTATCTACACTCAAGAGGAGGTAAAGAAGATGGACTTAGAAGTCACTAATCCAAAACCGGAGGTAGTTTCAGCAATAGCAAACAAAGGAACAGGATCAGAAGAAGCCCAAAGTTTGGGTCATCCTTCAGGTCAATAGAGAAAGAGAGGGGTTTAGTGTTGTGTAAATAAGGTTAGAGGTTTTATCTTACTAAGTTCTGTTATCATTGGGGGGGGGAAAATGCTGGAAAATTTGTTTGTTCTTTTGAAGTATAAGATTGCAGTTCTCCTTTGATAATGGATTTGCTGGTACACAAAAAAGACTACTCTAAAACCCCCCAATTAATATTTTATAGAGTAAATGTGGAAGGGAGGGGTTCTTCAATTTGTAGAGGTATAAAATGGTGCACAGCTTGGGTTAGCCATTTGAAATAGAACCCCCCTTTTAACATTTTCATTAGATTTTGGATATTAATGGCCAGTTGGAAGCCTGTGAAGTGGATGAAAATAGTGAAGGGGCGATGTCCATGTCCATCCATAGAATATTATAAAATTCTCAGTTTTTTTTTTTTTTTTTGGAATGTTTGCTGTACAGTCTCCAGTATTTTTATTATATTTATTTTTGTGCATCTTTTGAGGGGTTTAAGGTTGGGGTGATATTTGGATTAATGTAATGATGTCTCAAAATTCCCTAATCATTATATAAACTTCTGCACGTGCATATCCAGCATTGTCGACGATAATCTTTCTTAAAATGAAAAAAAAAAGAAAAAAGAAAAAAGAAAAAAGAAAGAGGAAACAAAAAAAAAAGGAAAGAAACAATGAGGACAGTTTGATAACAGTTCGGGGCCCCACCATCATCACACTATGCTATCACATGGAGTCTGGAATAATGTTTGTTTCTGACACTGGCCAAGTGTAACATAATTTTTTATACATAAAAAGTTTGAAACAAAATGCATTATTTTAAAGAAAATTTTGGAAAATTCTGCCATGGAGTTGAAGAAGTATCTTATAGATACGGGTAATTTTAGTCCGGATGAAATCAAAATCATAGTATAACAAATATATATTGTATATATAAAAATACAAGTTCACACGACTTTATGAACATTTGACTATATTTATTTGGATTAATTTCAAAAATTCTTCTTGAACTATGACCATTGTAACACTTTGAAATAACATACGTTCTTCTTGAACGTTGTTCCGTTAACAAGTTTTATTATTCTATTACAATAAGTGACGAAATTGTCACGTGTTACTTATTTAGTGAGAATTGAAAGTGTAATTACACTTATACTCTCTTAATCAGATAATTTCTCATCTTTATTGAAAAAATTTACTATTTTCGTTTCCATTTTGCTTTTTTTTTTCCTCACCTTGTTCATCCATGGCAAGTTCCACCATATCTACCTTCTCCTCTTCTAGGCCAGCATGATTTCAACGAATACTTGAACGAGAATCTCAAAAACGGCATCGTCTTCTTCGTCGTTGTCGTTGCCGTTAATTTCCCCACCGCGAGGCCTCCTCCGGTCACTGAGATTGGTGGCGTTATTGCATGAATCCCTGTTTTCAGATACAAACTATCCATTTTTTCTTGTAATACTCTTGTTTCTGAAATTCCTCTGTTTTGTTTGGGATTTCTCTGTTCCTTACTATTTATGAAGCAAAGAAATGCTGAAGATTATCATTGTATCAGTGTTAGACAAGCCTAACACAACCAATAGACAAAAATGTGTGTGAGAGAGAGAGAGAGAGAGAGAGAGAGAGAGAGAGAGAGAGTTGATTATTATGCAAAGCAAGAAAAGGAAAAACTTGATTTTATTTCAGATTTTTCTTTTTGGGGGAAAAGTTATAACCCTAACACAACCAAAAAAATCGACAAAATGGATTTTTTTAATGCATTTGAGTTTTTAATCGCTTTTTTAATAATCTAAGGCTGTTGTAGGTTAATTTACGATAATACCCTCCTCAAATGGGTTATGTACTTGACATGTGATGATTTTCATCACTCATTATAACAGAAGGATAAAACTTGTTAACGGAACAAAGTTCGGGGGGAACACATGTTAATTTTTAAAATTCGGGAGATAAAGTGTTAAAATGATCATAGTTCGGGAGGAATTTTTGAAATTAATCCTATTTATTACTTGTGGTACCAAATAGGGTGTACCCGCCCCAAGAATCTAAAGAAATTTTTTTAAGAACATTATTGACAAAATTGGAATGATAGAAACATAGGTAAAAAACTTAATATACAACAAGTATAAACTAAAGTATTGAAAACAAATTAAAGGCCTTAAAAGAACTAGATTGGCCCACCACAAGAACGCTACATTCCTTCATTGTCGCCATCACAGTCGCCACGAAGAAGCCGATCCATTTTCAGATCCACACTCGTGTATGATTAAATTAGATAGGTCGCCACTCTCAAAAAAGGCTTGGTGAAGGGCCTTCACACATCTTTCAGCTTCACTATCATTTACAATCAACGAGATGTTGACCTGGTTGATACATAAAATAACATCCAAAACTATCGTATCACTGGACAGCTAAAAATAGTTTAATTGCATATTCGTGTAAATGAAACGAATTATATCAAACCGACCTTGGATGCCCCCTGTGAGATCATTTGGACATTGACGTCGTTTGTCCGAAGAACGTGGAATGCCTGCATCAAAGAAAGTTGATCATATGAGAAAAAGGCGGGAAATTTCGGAAAAGAACAACATAGTAGAATCTGTTAATTGGAAATGCGCAACCTTCTCTAGAATCAATGAAGATCGCTGAACGTTTCCAATGAGAGAGATGATTGATCTATGCTGCAGAAGTTTCACGACTGCAATCTTTTTGAGCTCTTCCTCTACATTGTCGAGTTCCTGCACAAGAAGCCAAACCTTTTTATCAAGTGCTGGTTTGGCATGCCACCGGTTCTTTTACTTTTTTCCATGTCGATAGTACTCCTTTACTAAGACACTTAGAGGTGATGCATTGTTTTGATGAATAGCAACGCTCATAAATAAAGCACACACAACATATCTACGACTGAAACACGATAGGATTTCATGCTTGCCTGCTGGATTAGTTCTCTACTCCAGAGTTTTGATGGGTCCAATGTCAAAGATATACTAACTTCACTTGTAGCAACAACATCCACGGAAATGCCCAAATCCTCAAAGATGGAGAACACCTGCAGAACACCATGCAAACTGCAGTCACATCGAAATGAAGGCATTAAGTGTCAGAAACAAAAGCACACCAATAATCTTTCTTTCTCACCATGGCAAGGAAACCCACTTGACCAAGCATGCGTGTACTTACAATATCCAACATGGTAACATTCCGCTTCAAAACTATGCTGGTTAGAACAGCCTGAAATTGAGTTTAGAACAGAAAAGGACAAAAAAGAAACAGAAAAGGTCAACCGTGTTTGAATTCTTCTAAATGCTTAGATTATAATATTGGCATCAAATCCAGCTGCTATAAACCTCAGCCATATCTCTTGTTCTAGTGATGAGGGTGCCGGGAGCTTTTGGGTTGTAGGAGTTCTTGACCCTAACAGGAATATCACCTTCCCTTGCTGGTCTCATGGATAGTGGATGCAGGACCTGCAAGAAGCTCATGGTAACTATAATTCTCCCTTTATACAACAAAGAGTTCAATTTGTATTCTAATATTCCGAATTATAGGAATATCTATTCTTTTCTTTTTACTAGTTCAATTTGACTCTACAACTAGTTAAAATCATGGACAGAGGGATTTCCAAAGAAAGGGTTAGTTTACTCATTATTTCAGCCAAAACTATGATATAAGAGCCTGTTAAGCAGAAAAAGAAGAAAAAATTCACATTAAACATAAAGATATTTCAACCTGTGCACCAAAGTATGCGAGCTCAGCTGCTTCATCAAAACTCAAGTTAGGCACAGGCTTTGCACGTGGATATATACTAGGATCACAGGTCAACACGCCATCAACATCCTTCCACACCTATTAAAGAAGGTAAAGTAAGCTGGTAATATTGCAAAAGCGTATTAGCACAGAATTCCTACAATTGAAAAAGAAAAACAAAAATGCTTATACATATTTCACACAAAAGTGATTCTCATATTAGCAGTATCTGTAGAGAAGCAGATAGCAGTTCTAAATAAATCAAGCAGTGAATCAGAATGCATACATGGCGGGATTCACATGTTCTTATGAATTCTCTGTGGTAAAAGCACAAGGAGCTAATCTGACCTGAATTTCTCGCGAGCCTAAGGCTTTACCAATGGTGGTGGCTGTCAAATCACTACCACCCCTACCCAAGGTGGTTATTGCACAAGATTTCCAGCCCTACAATTGAAAGACACGACCTGTTTTATTAATAGCCCAGCTACGAAACTCTAAACATAAAATTTACAGTTGAAAACGAACTACGAACTAAGCATGTAAACAAGAATACAAATGCAGCAGCTAGCAACCTTTCCGAGGAACCCGGTAACAACAGGAATTGCAGGATCTGTAAACCAATCACCATGTAACCTTTTAGCAACAGCGGGGTAAGTTGCTTCCAAGATATCTGCATTTGTGAACTCATCTGTAGTTATGAAACCCATGTCAAACGCGTCATACTGCAACAATGCAACAAAATTATGTAAGGGAATTGTGTCAGAAAATATATTGAATGACTGCCAAAAAGGAGAGCCAATTGACATATCAGAATTTCTTTAGTGACCATGAAAGATAAGTCAGACATGGCGAACCCCTGCTTTTGAAGTCAGCTTGGATCAAATCAAATAGTTCGCCAAACAAGTGGGTAGAGCCTAAGAAACACTTGCATAATGATAAGCCTGTTGCAAAATCAGTTGAAGTACTAGTATATTTCTTTTCTCCTAAGTTGTCTAAACAAATGAAAATTAAAATAATAACAAAACGAGTTTGATTTCAACTAAAAAACAATAGACGAGAAGAATAATTGATAATGAGGAAGTACATACTTGGCGTGCTTTAACACCAATATTATTCAGATAAGCTGCAAAGATTCTAGTGGACATGCACTCTCCAAAAGAAACTAAATAATCTCTGGTGCGGGGTGTTAACTCCTTCATCATAGCTATGCCCTTCAAAAGTTGCTCCAGTTCTTCCAAGTGTGCTGCAAAATATCTCGAAGCACATTCCAAAGAAAATCCAAATAAGTCTGCATACTCAACACGCATATCCTTGGCATAAAAAAATCAACACAAAACAATGACCTTTGTCTAATGAAGTATCAACGATATAACACCACAAGGCTCATTTTTTAAGTAAAAAAACACATATTGCAATTCGTGTTATGACATGATAACACGACTCAAACTCGACCCATATAGGTGATGCACTGATACTGTTGATATGAAATTGACTTGATCTATTTTTAGAAAAAATATATGAAATATACTTTACTATTAATGAATTAAATAACCTAACACTAAAATTGTTTACATTAATTGGGAATGATAAATATCACTAAACAATCTAAACGCCACAAAGTAGAATTTCGAAATAAGCTCGAATTTGAAATGGTCCTCACCAGAAATAACAGAGCGATCAACTTCAAGTTCATCAACAGTCCTGAAAAGATATTAGGAAGAACAGCTCCATCACAAATCAATGATACAATTTTTTTTCGACAAAATTTCTTTTTTGAGACAAAGGATCAAACCTGAGATGCAATTCTTTTATAAAACTCAACTCTTCGATTTCCGACGCATTCGAAACACCGCAACTCACAGCCATCTCCCCGGCCTATGCATTATCAGAGCCATCCAAATTCCAATCCCATCACTACTATTACGACATGCACAAACCCTAACTCTAAAGAAAACAAGCGAGAAAATGAACGAGCATTTACGAGTAGGAGATTGTTGGTGGTTTTCCCCATGGCGGAGAGAACAATAACGGGATTTTCTTCTGGAAAACTGCGGATTAGGTCAGCGATCTCCCGAATCCTATGCGCAGAAGCCACCGACGAGCCGCCGAACTTCATCACGCAAGTGAGTTCCTCTCGCTTCTCTGAATCGCTCTCTTCTTCTTCTTCTTCTTCTTCGTCTTTCCTGATCACAGCTTCGATTCGGTTCTTCTTCTCGGCCTCAACTCTAGGAGCTCTGTTTCGACTTGCGTTCTCCATCGGCGTGCTGAGGAATCGACCTCGCCAAGCCGAGAATGAGAGCGACGCCATGCGCGAGAAATGCGAGCTTCTTGAAGCTCCGAAGCTGCAGGGATTTCTAACGCCATGGAAATGCAACGAAGCCGCCATTTTTGTGGGAGAGTGAAGCTTTCAATCGATGAATTGTCTAGGGTTCTAAATTCTTTCTCAAGAATTTTCTCATCAATCTCACTCTAACGAGTCAATGTGATGAAAGTTTCTAATTTTTATTTATTTTTTTAAAAAAAGCATAAAGCTTGATGACCTGATTCAATTTGGTAGTCAACAAATCATAGTGTTATTAGTTAACGCATTTTTTTTTCTCTAAAACATAATTATTTATTTACTAAAAAAAGTTATTAATCTAAGGTTGGTAGATGTTTTCATTTTTAAAATTATGTTTTGTTATTAATTAATTTCACAGTTCTAATGGTAATTCAAATCTGACTACACCTTGAGTTTAGGTATTTAATCCCCAAATTAAAAAAAGTTAATAAATTAGAAAAATAATTAATTTTTAGAAAATAAATAATTATAGTAAGGTAAATCCATTAGAAAAAGAAAAAAGGAAGGAAGCTAGAAGTAAAGGTCAAAAAGGCGCGCTACCTAACTTAACCGTCGGTGTGTAAAACGTACGAAATGCACCAATAATTCGTCTGGTCCCACATTACAACTATCCTGAGCCAAATTTACGCTCCCAGGTATAATCAAACTCATATCAAATTTAAAAAATATATAAAATAAATAATTTTTAATATAACATTATTTATAATTTTTTTTAATCCCACTTATTTTTGTCTCTCTTTCTTTTTTTTTTTTTTTTTCCTTTTGTTAAAGCATTGTAGCATCACAGAATTTTATTATTACAAACAAGTAATTTCTCGCTTTCTCACAATCTCACGGGAGGTTATGAATACTACATCTAAAATATATAAAACTACCGTATCTATCTTTCATATCCACGTAACGTTCTACCTAAAAACTTTTCCTAAACAATTGAACGAGTAAATAAATTATCTTTCTTTCTTTGTTTTTTTTGTTTTTGTTTTTTTTTTTTTTTAATTTCAACTGAATCGGATTATGAATGGAATTTACTGTGTTATGGTGCTGATTAGGTTGCTATTTTTAGTAAAATCAAAGGAGACGAAAGTAGAAGGAATCTACACTGCATAATCGGTGTAACCCAAGTTGCCTCTTTTTTATTTTTTATTTTTCATTTTTTTCTCTCTCTTTCTAGCTTGAAAACCCCAAAATTGAGAAAGATACAACATAAAGTTGAAGTAGTTTCTTCCCCATATTGATTTGGAAATGTAATAATAAAAAATAAAAAAAAGCAAAGATATTTAGGAAGATGAAATAAAATTATGGTGTTGGGACTGAGAGAATAGAAATTGTGCCTGAGATAAGAAGAAAGGGATTTATTTTAGCAATTAAAAACAAATTTGCATGATCATAATAATGCCGTACAGAGAGCAGAATCCAACTTACCGAATCAGAAACAGATTTTTAAAACGTGAAATTCATCAAAAAAAAAATTAAATAAATAAATAATTGTTTGGGTGGTTTTTGCAAGTTGTGGTGGATATGGAAAATGGTATTGTTACTATCAGTTGGCGCCAAACCACATCTATCTAATCTAATATTATTACTATTTATCCATTTATCTATATATCTATCCCTTTATCTATACTACACAATGATTATATATATATATATATATATATATATCCACACTTCTACGTCTAGCTATTACTCATTCTCATTGTCTCAATGCTTCTTCTAACCAATTTCATTTTCTCTGTCGGTTTCTCTAAATTCCCACACTTTTCTCTTCTGGGTTTCCGTTCTTCTTCTTTTTCTTACTAATTGCAGCATGAAAAAATAGGGTTGAGCCTTTAGTTCAGTGACTTTCAGCTTTCAATCGTGAGATATTCCAAGAGAAAAGCAGAGCAGAGCAGAGCTTATAATCTCGTTGAGGTGAGTCTTACAGTTTTTTGTTTTTCTTTTTGAGCTTTCTGACTTGTTTCTTCTTCTTCTTCATGCTAAAACCCGACTCATAAGTATTAATTTTCTAATTTGTTTTCGTCTTCAAGTGAAGAAAAAGTTGGGTTAATTTAGAAAAGGACCTCTTTTCTTTATTTATTTTTTGTAAAAATGTTTATTTATGTGTATATGTCTGTGAAGAAAGAAACTCCTCCAAAATGACAGATAATTAGAAACCCAGGTGTAAACTCTTGAACTCTCTTAGGTCTTGTTAACGGCATATTGGGTCATTAGTCCAGGAAATTATTATAGAATTTTATTGACACTTCAACCCACTTTCATATGTAAGTGCTTATGTGTCTGTCTTTGTACCGCATAAAATATTTACTCTCCACAGAAAATAGAACAAAATCTAATTCACGGTTGTAATAAGATTTTCAAAATCCTCTGGTGGGGTCATGTGAGAAAGGAGCAAATCTGTTTCCTCACTAAAACAAGATAATTTAGTTTAGATTAGATGTAGACTTTGGAGCTCAATTAAGTTAACTTTTTGTCCCTTTAAATGTGCAATCATAGTAAGTGCCTAAGTGGTCTCTTTTTTTTTTTTTTTTAGGTATTAACTTTCGGGAATATTCATACACAAACCATGGATAATGGAGAAACAAAAGATGCATCAGGCTATGGCAAACCTCCATGGATATTCAAAGGAAGGTAAGCAACCACCCAAAAAAAGTACTTAATAAATACATTTATCTTACTTGCTTCTCTCTTTTAATTGATTCTGCTTTACAACCTGCGTTTCATTCTCAGTGCTTTGTATCAGCTCCATCTGGTGAAAGCCAAAACCGCGCGGGCGTGTATCCCGAAAGATTTGAGATTGGTTGAAGCATTTGGGTATTTTCTGGATTCTTAAAATCCTTGTTGAAGTGTTCAAGTTCTATAGGAGAGTTATGTCCTGAACATTGCAATTTATTATTTTGCAGGTATACTCTTGGTGGGTTCTTTCTTGCGAGCTACGATGACAGCCCAGCTGGAGTCTTTGATGAGGTTTTTCAGAAGAACTGTTGTTAGCACTTAATCACTTTCGGATTGATCCTGAACCCGAAATCGATTAGTGGAATTCCGCTTTTGAATAATGTAGTTACTAATAGTTATAATCATGTCTCTTCCCAGCTTGTTGTGATCGCCGGACTTGTATGGAACCCGCCGACATCTTGCGCGTAAGCTTTTCCATGACTTAAATTTCTTCTTTATACTAAGATCTTGTACATCACAAAATCCTGCTACAGAAGATGCACATTTTTCTCCACCTATCTCTAAAATCGATCATGATGTCATGAGATACGCTTAATTCATTTTTGTCTTTTAAGTAAAGATAACCTTTACAAGTTAGGCACCATGCAGAAAAATGAGTCATGACCTTTGAAAATTGTTGCTGAATCATTTTCTATGTTATGGGTTTGTTTTGAGGCGTTAAAATTGACTTGCTTATACACATTAAACTGGATGCTTAGACTTAACAATACCGGCTAATACAACCTGAGGAGATTATACTAGACCAGTCAACACTTTCTCCTTTATTTAATCAAAATGTTTCCTTGGTCTTTTATTATTATTATCTAATAATACCGCCAAAGCAATCGTCTTCTTGGAAAATAAAGTTGATGTATAATAATTTAATACAAGTGCCTTACGCAACTAGGCAACTTGCAGATTGTAAATGAGTCACGTTCTTGCATCTCTGAATCTATCAAGTTTTTCCAAACCACCTAAAGCACTTTCACTTCTGCTTTTAATAATAATATATCAGTCAATAAACTAGATTGTCTTGATTTGATTAAAGAGGACAACAGTTTGGCTGCAGAACAACTAGTTTCAACGTGTTTTTCTTCTTCTTGTCAACAGATGGGCCACTAAGGTGCTTGTGAACAGCGATGAAGCTTGCGAACATGGTCGAAAGGTGGGAGTTACAGAACTCAGCACAATTCAATTTATTTTGTTAATCTAACATTATCTTTGTTTGAAAGAACTATAGAGAGGAATTAATATGACTATTCAATATCGTTAATCAAGGTCTTTGTTGATAATTCAATCTAAAGGGCTACTTATGGAGAAATAAAACCTGATATAACCAGATAAACATAACCAAAACCTAAACAAGCCTAGTGGATATACATATATATGAGCATTCCTAATTATCTATATCTTGCTCCTCATCACATGGGTTTGCATTTTTCTTTCGTAGTTCCAATGTTGGTTTGCTGTCACTTGTTGCAGGAAGTAGGGCTTCCGAGTCAGGTCGCTAGGTTCTCGAAGGTACGACTATGTGTAAACTTCATGTTGAAAGATTTTTATCCACAGATTATTTTGTATTGTTCAAATGTCCAATTAAAACTAATCAGAATTCTTTCAAACACATTTTGCCATATTCTCAAGCAAATCAGACGGTCATACATGATACATGATTATGCTTTCTGTACTTATGAAGCAGAGAATTACATCAATCTCAAGGCAACAAGATAGTAGTAGAAGCACTGGATTTTTAAACATGTTTGGCATGGGAACTGGCTTGTCTGATTGGTATTCGAGAGATCGTATGGATGTCCAAGTGACTGCAGAAGATACTTCTTCTTTCAACCTCACCTCTTTAGGTTGGTTTCTTTGATTCTTTTGCCTAATTTCAGATTTTGACCAATTCTTTTCCGTATAAAAAGAAAAAGAAATCTAGATACTGCTCTACCAACAGGCAACATTTCTGGTGTGCTAAATAATATGAAATGGGAAACGTTTAATAGAGCTGGAAGTAAATGATTGACTTGTGGATAACATTTTGTTAAGCATGATTTTTAGCTCATGAAGAGCATGCATCTCTCTCTCTCTCTCTCTCTCTCTCTCTCTCTCTCTCTCTCTCTCTATATAT